GTAACCCCGCGAGTGCATGCGCGCCTGGAATACGCTTCGCGCCCATATGCATCTCGTATCGCACCTGCACCTGCACCTGCACCTGCATCTGTATCTGCATACGCGTCGGCTAACGCCCCTTCGCAGGTCGCAGCCGCCACCGCCGCGCCCTTCAACCCCTCTGCAGTGATCACGCCTATCTTTGGGAACATCAAGGACGCGGCGTACGACGTGGGGTGGTTCCAGCAGTTTGATATTGTGTTGAATGCGTTGGATAATTTGGGTGCGTACGCCTTCCCCTCTGCGTTCTATCTGCGTTGCTATTATTTCTGCTTCACTGTCAACTCTGCCTTGCCCATGCTTTCGCTACCCCTTCCTCACGCCTCACAGCTCGCTAACGCTCCCTCAGACGCTCGCCGGCACGTGAACCGAATGTGCATGGCCTCCGGGACACCGCTCATCGAATCCGGCACGGCGGGGTACCTCGGCCAAGTCCAGCCGATCGTGAAAGACTTGACGGAGTGCTTTGACTGTGTGCCGAAGCCTACGCCGAAGACGTTTCCGGTGTGTACGATCCGGAGTACGCCGAGTGCGCCGGTGCATTGTGTGGTGTGGGCGAAGAGTTATTTGATGGGCGAGTTGTTTGGGGAGGGGGAGGAGGGTGAGGCCGCAGGACGAGCAGGGGGTGCGGAAGGAGCGGGGGGTGCGGAAGGAGGAGGGGAAGGGGGAAGGAGAGATGCGTTGAGCGAAGCAGAAAAGAGCGGCGAAGGCGGAGCAGACCAAATCCGCACGCTCCGTGCCCAAGCACGTGCCTTCGAGGGGCTCCGCGCTGCCCTTCGCGATCCCTCCCGCGCACCCCTAGACGTCGCGAAGGACATCTTCCGGAAAGTATACGAAGACGACGTGAAGGCGCTTTTGGGGATGGAGGATATGTGGAGGACGAGGAGTAGGCCTGTGCCGCTTTCGTGGGATGCTGTGTTGGCGAATGAGCCTCCGCATCCGGATGATGTGCCCTTCAAAGAGGATTGGGGGCAGGGGGAAGGGGGGGAGGGGGAGGGGGAGGGGAGGGAGGTGATTAAAGACCAGAGGGCGCTGTCGAGGGCGGAGAATTTGGTGTTGTTTGCCAAGGCGACGGTTAGTCTTGCGTTGCGCTTACGAGGAGGGGAAGGCGCGGGCGGAGTGCAAGGAGCAGGTGAAGGAGGAGAAGGAGGAGGAGAGAAGGAGATAGTGTTTGATAAGGATGATGAGGATACGTTGGATTTTGTGACTGCTGCGGCGAATTTGAGGTGTTGGGTGTATGGGATTAAGGAGGAGGGGCCAAGCAAGAAGGCTACTACGGCTACGACTACGGCAAGCAGAGGAGGAAAAGCAGCGACAGCAGGAGCGGAGAAGAAAACACGCATCGGCAAGACGAGGTGGGAAGTCAAGGAGATGGCGGGGAATATCATTCCGGCGATTGCGACGACGAATGCGGTTGTGGCGGGGTTGATTGTTTTGCAGGCGGTGAGGTTGCTTAAGGCGAAGGATGCTGCTGGGGGAGGGGTGGTGGATATGGCTGGGATGAAGTGCGTCTCTCCTCTCTCTGCGTGCTTTGAGTTTTTAGAGCTGTGCTGACGCCCCCCGCCCCCTAGAAACATCCACATAACACCCAACAAACCACACCAGCCCCTCGCGCCGTCCTCCCTCATCCCGCCGAACGCGCACTGCGGGGTGTGCAGGGACGTGTATGTTGTTGCGCAGGTGCGGGATACGGAGAAGGTGACGCTGGGAGAGCTGATTCGGGGTGTGGTTGGAGGTGCGTTCTTCCTCCACAATATGTTCTGGCATCGCCTTTTTTTCTGCGTTGCCTTTGTTCTCTGCGCCCCGACTAACGCTCCACCCTCCCCCATCTTATAGACAGAGAAACAACGGCGTACGAATCCGCGCGGCTCCTCTCGGATCCGGACTGGGATGATAACCTTGGGCGGAGCTTGGGGGATTTGGGTGTTGGGTATGGGGCTTTCATCTCTTTGGTGGACGAGGAAGGCGGGGAAGGAGGGGAGGATGTGACTGTTCAGGTTGGGATTGCTAAGTGGCCTGCAGCGGCGGTAGAGGCGGGAGCAGGTGAAGGTCAGTTCTTCCCTCGCACTCTTAATTGTTGTTTGCTGACGCGCGCCGCCGCCGCCGTTGCAGCCGCAGGACAAGAGCAGCCACAGCTCAGAATCATCCCATCGCCACTCCCCCCGCTCCCCAAACGCGCTCGGAAGGAGGAGAGGGAGAAGGAGGAGCCGGGGAGTCCTGTTAAGGTTTTGGGGGGTGCGTTCCGCTTTTTCTTGCTTGCTCCCTCGCGCTTTCCTTTCTTTCTCGCGGGCTGCTTGTGGATGTGTCTGCGTTTATTTTGGGCGATGTGTCGATGCGTTTCTTGTGCCCGTGTTGCACTGCGCTTGCGCTTTATCCCTTTGTCGTCTTTTTTTCTTGACCGTTGCTTTCTTGACCGTTGATGCTTGACCGTTGATGCTTGACGCTGACGCTGACACGAACCCCCTAGACACACTCACAGCTCCCCCGAGCCCCACCGCGGGACGCAAGCGGACGCGCGAGCCCGAAGACGAGGGTGTGCGCGAAGGCGTTAAGAAGGTTCGTGGAGCGGCCAGTACAAACGCAGGACGAAGTTTGGGTGCAGGAGCTGCAGCAGGTGCGGGGAACAAGAAAGCGCGCGACCTGGAAGACGCGGGTTTCGTTATGCTTGATGCGATGGATGAGGATGTGTCTTTGCCTTCTGGTGATGCAGTGGCAAGTGGAAGTGGAAGCGGTGCAGCGGCAAGTGCGAGTGCAGGACGAGGAAGACAGGGAGGGAATGCGGCGAGTGGGAATGGGAATGGGCAAGGAGAGGTGGAAGTTATCGAGATCGACTAGCCTCCAGCGTACGCAGAAGCAAAGAAGCGAAGAAGAGAGGAAGAAGTGAATATGGAAGTAATGTACCGTTGAAGCCGAGGCCATGATTATTTGAATACTTATATATCGTGATGTTCGAACGACCGTCCGTGCATGGAGCCTAAGTAGCTTCGCATGTACTGAGCTCAACCAGGCTGGACTGCCCTGTGCTCTGTGCTGTGCGTTGAACCCCGCCTACAAGTATGCTCTTATACCGCTATATGCTGTTATAGAACTACAAAGACGCCGAAGCGCACCGGCAAGGTGGCCGAGTGGTCTAAGGCGCGTGACTCAAGCTGCCAAAGCTTGCCTTGTTTCTCGTGAGAGTATTCTCGCGTGGGTTCAAATCCCACCCTTGTCATTTTTCTTCTTGCTGGCTTGTTCTTGCGATAGTTGATTGAATTTTGCGCGGCAGCAGCTTGCTTGCTTGTTCTTGCGATAATTCAAAATTAATTCATTGATTATCCGAGGACGGGACCGGGGACAATCATTTTTTGAGTACCATCGATGATCTGACAGTATACTACTGTGGTGTTTCCTTTGAACACGATCCCATTTCATTGAGCACGCTACACGCGAGCCCATTGAACACGAGCCCGATATTCAACGACATTGAACGACGGATGGCATCTTTGTTCGTGTGTGGGAACCGGGAACCGGGAACCGACACTGTAACGTTAACTTCAACTATCCCCCGGTTCAAAGTCCCGATTTCCAAGCTTCTCAGGCTCTGATTGAGTCTAAACTTTTAACCAACCTGATTTCTGACCCGTTAAGCAGTCTGATTTCTGACCCGTTAAGCAGCCTGACCTGTGAGCAGTGACACTTGAAGAGTGTCAACGGCGGTGAACAGTGACTGGTGACGGCGGAAGAGTGTCAACGGCGGTGAACAGTGACTAGTAGTAGTGACGGTGGAAGGGGGTCAACGGCGCGGCGGCAGATCCGGTCTCACGTTCATAGTGTTCATGGACCCGGACTTGGACTTGTGGTATGCCAGCGCTTAGTCTTGTACTATGCCAGTGCTTAGTTTTGTACTATGCCAGTGCTTAGCCAATGGATTTTCATTGACAGACCAGTTGCCAGTGCACGGAAATTGGAATTGTGAACGGTAATGGAAGGTGAAGGGTGAAAGATGAAGGGTGAAAGATGAAGGGTGAAGTGCTAGTGACTTGCATAAGTCTGAGGTATCGGACAGCAACGAGGACAAGGATGGCAAACGAGGACGACGACGACGCGTCGGATGGCACGAAATACTCGAAGTGCATGTTGAAGTGCATGTCGAAGTGCATGTCGAAATACTGAGTAAGTACTATGTGGGCCGTATGTATGTATCCGATGAATAAGGAATGCCTGCGCAGCGTGAAGAGAACTCCAATTGACCACGATATCTCACCGTCCAAAATATACTCATTAGCACAAATTTGAAGGGGCAACGTTCGATACCAATGCTGAACGCCGCAAGGAGGGCGAGGGCGAGGGAGAGAGTACATAAAGGTAATGATGACGGAAACGATAGGCTGAGGGTGCCTACCTTGTGATGACTACGTATACCATTGAAGGAATCCGGATCGATGTCGTAAGTTTCAACGGCCGGAGCGTTTGCGACTCGCGAGCTACTCCAACACTCGCAGGCTACGAAGTTCAACACTCGCAAGCCACTTCAAGGGTGGATTGAGAGTCAAACGCGCATGCTGCAATATTAGAGGAACGAGAGCTAGTGGCCGGAATGCAGCTCACGTAGCCAAGCAATAGTCTCTGTCCGAAAGGGTGGCGAATATACTTCCTTTGGGACGCGCAAGAAGATCGTCGAGCTCTTCAATATCACACCAGTAATGAGGAGCGAGGACCAAGGTTTGAAGGCTAGGTAGTAGGAGCATTCAAGCCTCTTCCCACTCGGAATAAGGTCGAGTGTTGAAGTAGCTTGCGAGTATTGAAGTGGCTTGCGAGTATTGAAGGAGCTTGCGAGTATTCCGCGTCAATCCACCCTTCGCCTCAATCCTACCCTTCGCCTCAATCCTACCCTTCCGCCCCAACCCACCCTTCCTTCGCCTCAATCAATCCACCTTTCCGCGTCAATCCAGGACTGCACAAAGAGACTTCGGCACACCGGCAAGGTGGCCGAGTGGTCTAAGGCGCGTGACTCAAGCTGACTAAAGCTTGCCTTGTTTCTCGTGAGAGTATTCTCGCGTGGGTTCAAATCCCACCCTTGTCATTTTTTGCTCGCTTGCTCCCTTCTTGTTCGGCTTGTTGTTTTCACCTTCGATCCTGGGGCCTTCAAGTCGAGGCTCCAGGCTTTGACTCAAGGGCTTGAGTTTTTTTTCCCATCGTACTCGAAGGAAGACCACGTTGAGCGCCGTAGGCCCCATCGAATCGCACCTTCACTGCTACTTATCTATGATCTATCGAAACGACGCAAAAAACACCTCGAGAAAGAGAAGGAGAAAGAGAAAGAGGGCAGCAAAAATGACAAGGGTGGGATTTGAACCCACGCGAGAATACTCTCACGAGAAACAAGGCAAGCTTTGGTCAGCTTGAGTCACGCGCCTTAGACCACTCGGCCACCTTGCCGGTGCTGACTTGGGGTGGTGTGGTGCTCTGCCTTGCCCATGCCCATGCGTATACTCACCCTGCTCACGAATATTATATGCACTGGCACAACACCAATCCTCCATTCACCGCGCAGACTCATCTCCGCGACCTCAGATCCACGCTCCCAACGCATATACATACACATTAACTAACAACCCACCCCGATGTATCTCTGGGCCAGAGTCCATACACATGAGTGGGGACTCGGACACTCAGACTCCTCACACGCACAGACTCGAACTCCTCACACAAACTCCTCAATCGCATTGCATTCCATCCCCACATCCGATTTTGATTCCATCCACAACAAAAGTTGGTATTCTGCATCATCCAGAAAAGCATATATATAAAAGAGAGACGGGGCGTGTCTTGTTGAACTGAAAGGCCATCTCGAAGAAGGTGCGTGAAGGCAAGGGAACCGAGAGAGAAGGGCGCGGCGTGGATGTAATAAAAGAAGAAAAAATGTCATGACGAAGGTATAGGAAAACAAAAAATCATAAACCCATTTTCTAGGTTTTTCATCGAGCCGGAACCCATATCTTCACCGTCTGCAGCACAGTCAGCAATGTGAAGGAGAACACAGACAAGACGAGGAAAACGCAGTAGGAAGAAAAAACAGCAAAAACCACAAAACACACCTTATCACTACTACACGTCGCCAACACATTCACAACCTGCCCCTCCTCCCCAACCCCCTTACCCGCAGCCTGCATCCTCCCCCAGCTCATCCCCGCAACAAACTGCTCATGCGCCTGCACCGTCCTCACACACCTCCCCGTCCCCAAATCCCACACCTTGAACCGATGGTCGTCCGACGCGGTGAGGAGGTATTGGCCGCTGGGATGGAAGACGATGGACCGCACCCAGTCATCATGTCCCTTGAGGGTGTAGAGCAGGGCTCCGCGCTGCGCGTCCCAGATCTTGACGGTTTTGTCGCGCGAGGCGGTTGCGGCGAAGACGACGGGCCCGGTTGTTGTTGCGTTTGGCTTTTTAAGACAGTGTCAGAGATGAGGAGAGGAAAGAGGGAAGAGGAAAGGAGAAGAGAGACGTACTTTTATCCCAGCAAGCTCACAGATCGCAGCTACCGCATTCGGCGGCGCGAACTGTGCTGCCTCGACCACATTGTCATGCCCTCTAAACTCTGCTTTGAGCTCGCCTGTCGCCGCGTCTGTTATCTTTGCCGTCTACATTCAATCAGCATGGCATCCAAATGCCAGGGAAGGAGGGAGGCAGGGAGAGGGAGGCAGGAAGAGGGAGGCGGGGAGAGGCAAGAGAGGAAGAACACACGCACATGGTCCGCACTACACGTCAAAAAGAACCTCCCATCACTACTGGGCACCGCCCCTCGTATCCAATCATCATGCGCCCTAATCACCTTTATACAATGCGTCGTCCCCACATCCCACACCCTCACCGAATGATCCCTCGAACTCGACACAATCTTGTCATCCCCAGGAATCCACCTCGCCGAACTAATGGAATGCTCATGCCCTCTCAGCGTAGCCACATTCTTATACCCATCCTCCACATTCCACAACTTGATAAACAAATCATAGCTGCACGTCACCAACATCGTCCCAGCGGAGTTGTACTGCGCATCGCTCACGCGCTTCGTATGCGCCTTCAGCGTCATCTCGCGCTCGCCGCTCTCCCAGTCCCAGATGATGACCGTGCAGTCGTCCGACGCGCTGGCGAGGACCGTGTATTTGGGGTGGAAGGCGACGGCGTTGACGCCGTCGCGGTGTCCGGTTAAAGGCGCTTTGCAGGAGGAGGAGGTGGGGAGCCAGTCCGCTGCCTGTTTCTTGGAGGATACGCCCCCGCTCGTGCCCGCTAGACGCATTTCTTCTTGTACTTGGGAGATTTGGTGTTCGAGTTCGGATACCTGGGTGGTAAGTAGGTCGGTATCAATGCATGCGCTTTGAGCTTAGCTATGGGGTAGAGTAGGGGAGGGGAGGGGAGGAGGGAGGGAGAGAGAAGAAACACGCACGCGCTTCTGCATCCGAATCACACTTGTCCATTTCTTGACGAGGAGGCCACTCGACGGCTGACCGAGGTCGGGCTGAAAGTCGGACTACTGCGTTGTGATCAATGGCTCGTGTTCAACTTCCCACACACTCCACCCCCCACACCAACACCAAAGCAACCACCTAAGGCATATACC